TTCTTTAAAAAAAATTCAATTATTTTATTAACATTTATTATTTTTGCAATACAAATTTCTCAATATAATTTTCATCATTTTATTAGGAAATTTTATATGGAATATGACATAGCATTTTTTCGAAATTTACATCTGAAAAAGTCATATCCCATGTAAATTTTCGGATGCAAAATTACACGGGGTATAATTTTTTTGGACGTAAATTTTCGATTGTAAAATTTCTCCCAATTTCTGTGTAAGTTCGATTGCGCCCTCTAACTTTTAAGTTCTGCTTCTGCCCCTACTCATAAAGGAACACATTTTTCACGTCTAGTTGCCACAATTTCCAACCTTTGTTAGCATCCAAAGAAATAGTTATTCGAATTGTTACCATTTTAGCACTGAGACTGAAAGTCTCATCGTAATGTAGATCATATTGTTGAGAGAACGCACAAACAACAAGACGGGCTTGTGACCTATCAATTTTACCATCAACTTTTTTCTTTAATTTGTAAACCCATTTACAAGTAACTAAATCGACATCCTTTGGTTTTGGTACAAGCTCCCACTTGCAGTTCTTGTTTAAGGCTGAAATTTTATCTCCCGTTGCTTCTTTCCATTCAACAATCCCTTTAGCTTCATTGTAGGATTTTGGCTCATTCCCACCTGCATCTCCCATGAAAAAACAAGACATGACAGAAAAATGATTTAACTCAACTTCATAATCAGCTAAATAGTTAAGTTGTTTTCTCTGTCTTGTCGACTTTCGTGTAATAGCCTGAGTAACCTCATCTATTTGAATGTTTTCCTCAAGTGAAGAAATATTGCTCCCTCTATCAATTGATACAGCATCACCAAGATCAGATGTGACTTTTCCTTCATTTGCATCAAACTTATAAGATAACACTTCATCAAACACCACATCACGGGAAATAGTGACTTTCTTTGTTTCTGAAACCATACATCTCCATCCTTTCCCGTGAGTGTCATAGCCAACAAAAATACAATGCCTAGCCCTTGGGTCGAGTTTAGTTCGATTATGTTTTTATATATGAACATAATAAACAGACCCAAAACCTCAAAAATAACTTACATTGGGTTTGCGATGGTACAATAACTTAAAAGGAGATGATTCTTTCCCCCAGCCATGGAGGCAATCGATTTATAACATGACAAGCTGTCTGAATAGTTCCAACCCACAGTTCTCTTGGAAGACTCTTTGCATGTAGCCATGACAAGGATACAGATGTTAGATGAGTTAGCTTACGCTCAACAACCCCATTTTGTTGTAGGGTTTCTGGACAAGTCATTTGACGTCGAATCCCACGTTCCCTACAATAATTTATAAATTGATCGAACATATATTATCCTCCATTGTTAGTGCGCATGCACTTTGTTGGTAGCCGAAATTCTTTCTTTGCATCCAGCTTGAACTGAATAAATTTGGAGAGAAACCTAACTTTTGTGTTCTAAGAAATAAAGCCAAGTGACGAGAAAAATCGTCCACAATAACCATTACATAATGATAACCAATGCAACTAGGTGTTCTTGTTGGCCCCACGAGGTCTGAATGAACGAACTGTAACATAATAGATGCGCTATGATAAGTGTAGTTTATACACTTATTTGTGACCTTAAATTATGATATTTTATTATTTTTTGGATTAAATTCTAATTAATCTATGTTATATTGTGTTTTGTATGTAAAACTTTATATTTAATGAAAAATTGGAGAAAAAATGCAAAAGTGG